GAAGAAGAAGAAGAAGAAGAAGAAGAAGAAGAAGAAGAAGAAGAAGAAGAAGAAGAAGAAGAAGAAGAAGAAGAAGAAGAAGAAAAGGAAAAAAAGAAGAGGAAGAACGAAGAAATGGGGATGGTGGTAGTGTAATGATGATGATGATGATGGATGATGATCGTGCATTAACGGATAAAGGGGGATAGACGGAGAGTGGATGGAAAATCTCTCCTTAGTATTTTTTTTAAAATTTAGGGTACCTGAGAGTATATTTTGAAAAATAGGGGTAACTAGCGGTTCTTACAACAAAACATGAGGTACCCGGCAGCAGTTTTTTGTATAATATTACTAGGCAATGTCAAGAGAATCGCCCAAAAATGGGCGAAAACCGCGAGTTACACCAAAGGACTTAAAGGAAATATTGCCCCAACTAAAAGTTATACATATGTTAATCTACGTGGCCTATCTCCACGGAATGTATACAGTCCAAAGGAAAGTACATCATTTGAATAAGCCTTGTGTTTCTATAATTCTAAAGTTCATGAAATATGGATCTTGTCACACTTTTTATGGGCCGATATAAAGATCCTTTATTTTTTTAAATGACCCAATTCATTATAATGTTTATATACTAAGGTCCATAAAATGAGAGTAGACCTAAGAATCACAGAATAATTTGCCTTCGAATAAATGAAGCATCCTCGGATTAGATATTATTATAACATTTCATTATAGATCAGATCGGATCACATCAAACTTTAATAAAAACAAATCAGATCCAATCATATCACAGGAATGAGAATTAGCTCTAAGCGAAGTGATAGGGCTCATATAATAGATGTAAAGAATCTTTGGAAGTTCATTGCCCCTACACTAACATGCTCTCACATCCATGGTGATTTATTAATGAAGTTTAATTTGTTTTTTTACCCCCATTTGTACATCATTAATCTTCTCTATTTAATCTTTATGTACTCTTTAATCCTTTTAGGGTCCATTTCGATCAATTTATTTTTTTCATCTTATTACTTATTGTTATTAGAATCAGATTAAATTAGATTAGACCAATTTAAATATAACTACAATAATATCAGTACCAGATCTTTAAAAAATCTGATCTTTAAAAAATCTGATCAAATCACCCGAGCGGAACACAGCCTATCCACACTTGGGATTGAGGTCTTGTTCTTTTGGGTTGAAATTTAAGAGTTGAGTGTTAGAAGAAACGGGAAATAGTTAGAAAAAACTAGGAGTTGGAAAATATTAGAAAAATTTGTTAGGATAGTAGACCAACGCTAGAGGGGGGGGGTGAATAGCGTTTGATCAAAAATCGCAGGAATACAAAAATGAATAAACGAGAGGTAAAGAGAAGAGTAAGAGGCACACCGATTTTACCCTGGTTCACCACAACTTGTGGCTAATCCAGCCTCCCGAGAGACTCTCTCGAGCTACACTACTATCTCGTTAAGCTTAACGGTGCTTAACAAACCCGTACAACTTGAGAGTTCAAGTCACACGAACCTCAACAAACCTTCGAAGGAAACAGCCCTTCCTTCGAACAACAAGAGAAATACTTTCTCTTGTCAAGTGTCTGAGAACACTAAAAACACTCAAGAACAATACTCTCTTTTAGAGTGGATAATGAGTAAACTAAGAACGTTCAAGAACACAACACAAACTTCACAAAAATGGCTCTCAAAAGCTATGAATAATTGAAGAATGATTTGCAATGAAAGAGTAGGAGTTGTGAAGTAATGTGATATGTAAAACAGACCCAAACACCCCTTTTTATAGTAGAAAAATAGGCTCCAACGGAACAAATTATTTAAGGGGTGATTGGCACAATTTGTGGGACTTGATGAAATTTGGATCTGCTGAAATTCACCCAGACAGCGCTGTCCTAGGCTTGGACATCGCTGTTCTAGGCTTGTGTTTTGAAAAATGGGAAGCAACGGTCATGCCAACAGCGATGTCTAAAATCCCTACATCGCTGTTTTGGCTGTTGACTTCCAAACAAGGAAAGTTTTAGCCTTAAATTCCCTCCAACGGTCAGGTCTCTACATCGATGTTCCATACTAGAACATCGCTGTTTAGGTCTGCCTTTGAAGATGGAAGTTTGGCATGACAGCGCTGTTGCTGGGTCAACATCGCTGTCCAAAAACTTTCTGCCAATGCACTATATTTTTGGCTTAAGTTGGACGGCGCTGTAGGGAAGCCTACATCCCTGTTCCAGAAGTTTCTAGAAATCCAACCTTGGCTCAACAGCGATGTCTAATGTCCAACATCGCTGTTGGAAGACTTAACGCCAAACCATGTTTTTAGCTACCCAAGCCAGACAGCGCTGTTGGTTACACCAACATCGCTGTTGGGCTGGTTTAGCTAGACCCATGGTTGGTTTAGTCACGCCGTTAGCCGATGTCAAAAACGTAAGTTCTCCAAAAATAAAAACCAAGTATTGAAAACATTTGTTTGTTGCATTTTGCTAAGAAATCAAGTAAAACATTTTAAAAACCACGTCATTTAGTTGAAAACCACGACTAACCAAGTTTGTGCCGTTTCGCATGGTTTTCACTAAACGACCAAAAACGGAAAGTGGTTTTTGAGGCGTTTTTGTTGGAGAACTATTTAAATATGCCCAGAAGTAAAAACAAGTCATAAAAAGTTGAAAACCACTTGGTTGGTTCGAACCCCAAAAACCAATGCCGAAAACCGAGAGCCGAACGCCGGTTTCTGAAAACTGAACGCCGGATGGCTTGGTTTTTGGTCTGGGCGAACTCCAAGCGTTTTTAGCCAAGTTGAAAACTTTAGAAAAAATATTTTTGAATATGCAAAAGATATTTCGGTGAGAGAAGCCTAGAGAGCCAAGTTTTTGAAAGTTTGTGCCGGTCTTGATCACATTAAGACCGACTCAATATAATTCTAATTCTTTGTTCTTGATTCTGGGTTCTTGGTTCTCAAATCATCATGCCATGTTCCTTTGCCTTAGTTTTGCTCACTTTAGCTTTGATATGTCGCGGCGGTTTGGCATTATCAAAACCTGTCATAGAAACGAACACAGTTTAGTACGACGTAGGCGTAAACCCGTGTTCCAACAATTTCCCCCTTTTTGATAATGGCAAACAAGACGGGGATATGCATATTAAGGGATGTTTGTTTTTCAAAAGGTTGTGAAAAAGTTCCCCCTTAATTTGTGCTTAAAAAAATTTAGTTGGATTAAAATCAAACGGTCTCGTTTATAGAGACGTTCCCCCTTAATATATGCATAGTCATTTTCTTCCCCCTTTTGTCATTAACAAAAAGAGAAAATATGGTTTTATTTATTAAAGGAAATAGCGGAGTACAACTAACGGTAGCAAAAAAACAAGATAATTAAAGTAAAAGAGATAGAAATTCTAGGGGAGTCCTAGTCTTCGTCTTCGGTTTCCTCCTTGTCGTCATCGACGTCCATCTCATCCCCATCGATGGCATCGTCAAACTCGTCTTCATCCGGGGAGCTTGACGGGGCGTAGGAGTCATCGGCTTCGTCTTCGTCACCGTACACTTGCCCAAGGAACATGCCGTGGTACGGTGGGGGGACGTAGTTGATGCCTTGGAAGTACGCGTTCATGGCGTACCCTTGGCGTTGAACAGCTACCTCGAGCCGTTCAAGGTAGCCTCCCATCCCGTCAACTTTGAGGTGGAGCCGGTTGAGGGAGTCGGCGATGGAGCCAAGGTTGGCCCGGGCCAGGGGTTCGGCTGGGCCAGCGGCAGTGGCAGTGCGGCGTGGCGCGGCAGTGGCAGTCGCGGCGTTGTCCGACCGCTTGATGAAGGTTTGGTTGCTGATTGTCCAAATCTTCGTGGCCTTCGTGAGCGGGCTAACGGTGGTGGTTACCTTGAACCGTTCAAGGATGTCCATCACCAAAAACGGGTACGGGAGGAGGTGGTCGTTCTCGGTGGAGGAGACGATCGTCATGTTGATCATGACAAATTTCGCCCAATTGATTGGGGCCGAGTGCATGATCGCGTGGATGAGCTTGAGGTCTTCACCGGACATGATGGTGTGGCCGTGCTTCCTGGGTTTGATGATCCGGGAGACGATGTAGAGAACGAGACGGCCTTCGGGGTTGGCGGAGTGGATGGTTGGGCGGCCCGAGGCATGGCGTTTGAGCTCGGTGATGCTAAGTTCGTTGAGGATAAAGCCCTCGTTGTTGAGCACCCAGTCCTCTCCGCCGGCGATGCGCCCAAGCTGCTCCACGGTGAGCTCAATCGGCGTGCTCTTGACAAGCGAGTAGAGCACGTCGTCCTCACGCCGGAGGTTGGAGTAGAAGGCCCCGATCAGCGCCGGGTTGATCTCCTTTCGAGCCCGGGAGATGAACGGCCAAAGGCCGGCTTGATGAGGCTATGCGTCAAGGTCGTCGTAGCCCTGCAGCTCCGGGTAGCGCTCCAGGATGATCCGTGGGGGAGCCACAACCCGTTTAGAGAAGAAGGTGAGGAACCGGGTGCGCTCCTCCTCGGAGTCAAAACAAAGGTACGACCTATATCCGTAGTAGAGGCGTTCTTGGATTTGCCGGAAGCTCCTACCCTGTTCTTATCTTTGCCCATGATGAAGAAATTTGAAAAAAAAATTGTAAGAAGAGTGAGATGTGCAAGAGGTAGGGATAGAATTTGTGTTTGTGTGTGAAAAAAATAAGGAGTGGAGGCTCCAATTTATAGAAAAGGAGGCCTCCAACGTCCAGAATTTCAAAAAATATGACTGTTGGAGCAATAAATGCAGGTGGAAGGGATTTTTTTTTAAAATTTTGACCAGAACAGCGATGTTCTACAGGCGACAGCGCTGTTAGGACAGCGCTGTTGTGCCTGGTACAGCGATGTTCTGCGTCAAGTTTAAAAAAATTGGAGTTAAACAGACAGCGATGTTCAGTGTCCTACAACGATGTTTCAAAAGTTTCTGGAATTGTAAAAGGGTTTGAACCCATTTGAACAGCGCTGTAAGGAATCCATACATCGCTGTTTTGCGATGAAGAAAAAATTTGAAAAAAAGGACATCGCTGTTGAGAGTAAGACATCGCTGTTTAAAAAGTTTCTGGTTTTGGTTGAAAACAAAATGTTTTGGGTAGACAGCGATGTTTTAAAGGGGAACATCGATGTTCAAAAAGTTTCTGGAGAGAGTAAGAAAAAGGGAACTCCCTGGGACAGCAATGTTGGCTTGTTGTACAGCGCTGTTGGAAAACTTTCTGGCTGACGGTTTTTCCCTCAACAGCGCTGTTTGGTCTCCTGGATAGCGCTGTTTGCATGGTTCCCCCTGATTTCATGAACGGGGTACCTGCAAAAAAGAAAAAGTTCTTCGACGCTCAAGTTAGTAAATGTTTAATAAATTTGGATGCACAACTTATATCATCGTGGAGTCAAGGATTCCGAGTTCACTTCGAATGCGGAAGAACGACTCTTTCTCTAAAGATTTTGTGGAAATGTCGGCTAATTGGTTGTGTGTTTCAACAAACTCAAGTTCGACATCACCTTTGAGAACATGATCTCTAATGAAATGATACCTAATGTCAATGTGTTTCGTCCTTGAGTGAAGAACGGGGTTCTTCGTCAAGCTTATGGTTCTAGTATTATCACAACAAAGAGGGACGTGATTGATACTAAGGCCATAGTCCACGAGTTGTTGCTTCATCCAAAGGATTTGAGCACAACAACTGTCGGTGGCTACATATTCCACTTCGGTTGTGGATAACGCAACACTGACTTGCTTTTTACTAAACCATGAGACTAGAGAGCTACCAAGTAAGTGGCAAGTCCCACTCGTACATTTACAGTCTAATTTGCAACTGGCAAAGTCCGAGTCGGAGTAGCCAACGAGATGACAAGAAGAGCCTTTTGGATACCACAGTCCAACGTTAACCGTGCCGGCAAGGTATTTCATAATCCGTTTTACTGCCGTTAAGTGCGACTCCTTCGGACACGATTGATACCTTGCGCAAAGGCAAACGCTAAACATGATATCCGGCCTACTAGCGGTAAGATAAAGAAGGGATCTGATCATACCTCGATACTTTTTGACCTCTACTTCCTTACCTTTCTCGTCTTTGTCAAGATGGTCAGACGTGCTCATCGGGGTCGCCATGGCTTTGGTGTTGTCCATTTCAAATCGTTTTAGGAGCTCCTTGCAGTATTTAGCTTGGCAAATGAATGTGCCATCTTTCATTTGCTTAACTTGGAGTCCCAAAAAGAATGTGAGCTCGCCCATCATTGACATTTCAAATTCGCTAGTCATTAGCGTTGAGAATTCCTTGCACAAAGACTCGTTAGTAGCACCGAATATAATGTCGTCTACATAAACTTGAACCAAAAGGATGTTATTGTTTTTACTCTTGATAAAAAGTGTGGTGTCTACCTTTCCCCTTTGGAAACCACTATCCAAAAGAAATTT